TATAGTATTCCTTTGCTGAAGAGGTCACTGAAGCACCCCCCTCCCCCAGGAAAGGGTGATTCCTGCAACATGAGCAGGAATTAACTAGGTTGGAATGGGGTAAGACAGAGAGAGCATTTCATATCAATGTCCATAGATGGAGGTTGAGCAATTCAGTGAGTAAAGAAGGTGAGTGTAACTGGAGTAGGAAACATAAAGAGAATTCTAGAGGAAATGAGATTGGGCAGGAGCCTCTAAGTCCTTTCTACCTGAAATTTTCTTGTCGGCTAATCAAGCAGATGTCAGTTTATGGACATTGATTTCATACGATCACTTGATAAGCCAATTTTGTTCAAGTTGTACTGCTAATTGCACATAAACACAGCTTCTTCAGGTATAATGTAGACTACCTCTTCAAGAAATGTGTCTTGCAGCTATTCCACAGCAACTACACATTCCTGCTCAAAGACTCTCTTCATAGCAATTGAGTGGGTGATAGAATAGGCATGGATCAGGGATACTGTGGCTTCCTTCATGTGTAGACCTAAGAAATATGACAATTGACTTTGAGTCTCGTGAAAAAGAAATTCTTTAACCCTGCTAACCATATTTGAAGACCTAAATAAGGACAGCTATCAGATGTTGGGTTATTGACATCCATTTATAAACATGGAAAGATATTATCCTATGAACATGTCCAACTTCATTGGCCTTTAGACTTGGAGTTAAGATGCCTGCTTCACTGAAGAGCCACATTTTGGTTACCTAAATCTTTAAAGAAAATAGCCACAAAATAAATGTTTTGGATTTAAGGGGACACTACTCACAAAAAAGTGACAATTTTTCTCTAGAGTTATTTCATAACACGTAAAATATTTCATAAACTATCCACAGCCATACACATCTATCCAATGAATGTATTGGTTTAAGCCTCAAAATTATTCTTTCAGAGCAGAAACCTTACTGTGAACACAAAAATCACTGAGTGTATATTTTTCCCAAGTATAATAGCTGTTTGCAAGATATTTCTGTGGAAAAGATCTTATGAAAATTTTAAAGAACTGCTCTTCTTTCTGTTTCATTTTTGAAAACTCAAAATTGCATTAACTTATACATCAACTTTAAACATTTCAATATGCTTGCAGTGTAAGGAATTTACATTTTTTTATACAGGTACCCAATTTTTTCATATAGTTGATCTTTCAGATAATTTGGAGGATTGTGTATAAATTGGTCTGCTAGATATAGATGGTATTCTAATTTCGAGTCACTCATTTCTCATTCTTAAAAGATAGTTTGCTATAATTTGGGGGGTTTTA